CCGCGCCGTCGCCTGGACAACCGCCCCGGAGCCCGCGTGCGCCGCGGTCTCTAGGAGACCGTGCCTGGGGATGCTGCACCCGCGGGAGCCGCCCGCGCCAGCCCCTGCGCGGCGCTTGGTCTCCCTTGCGCCCTGGACCCCGGCCCACGCTGGAATTTCTCTTCCCGGGGTGGGTTACTGTCAGGAGGAGATGCACAGTCCCCAGGGCAGAAGCCGACCCTCGCCCCCACCGCAATGCAGAGGCGCACAAGAGCGGCACCATTAAAGAAAACCCCATCAGTAGTTTCTCCGTCCCCTGGTTAAGATGCGCTTCTCTCTTCACTCCCGGGAGTGGGGTGATAGCGACGAAGCCGTGCCAAAAGATGACTCAATAATGCGGCGGTTTGGGGGCGCCGCGGAGGCCGACGACTGCGCATGTGATGGTGTAGGACCCACAGCTTTCGGCACTGTCGTTCGCCAGCTTAGAAGGCCAAGAATGCCTTGGGGTTCTGCTCTGAGGTCGGTGGACCTCACAGGGAGGCCTATAGGAGTCAGGCCTTGGGAAGAAGCTGCCTGATGTTCAAGGTCGCATACGTGCGTAGACAGACGTGGATCCAGACGTGGGATCCAGTCTGTAGTGGTCAGAGAGGGCTTCCTGGAGGAGCCCTGGCACCAGGAAGCTCAAACCCCTAACAACAACCTGCAGGAACAAGCAGGTATTCAGGTGCTCTGGTGCACAGAAACATTTCTTGCCTCAAAGCTGGCACAGGGAAAGAGGGAGAAAGGCACTTTTCTGTGAGAAAGGGACTTTTCTGTAATTGAGACACCATTGCCTCCGAGGAAAAGTAGACAAGATTGGGCGCATTCAGGATGGTGTGGCTGTAGTCTCCTCAGAGGAAAGAAACTCAGATCATCACCAGGTATGGAGGTAGGAGGACATACCAGTGGCCAAGTGCCAAAGCCTGGGCATTTTCATGCTCCCTGCTCTTCTAGGGCTGGATTATCCTCAGGCAGAGATGCACAGGCCCCAGGGCAGAAGCCGACCCCTCCAGGTGGACAGGCAGACAAGAGCAGCGCCACTGAGTCAGGTCTCACTAGTGGTTTTCCCTTTACCCTGTGAACAAGCCCCTCTCCCACCTGTTTTCTTCCAGAAAAGTGGAGTCTGCATTTTCTGGTCTCCCCAGAGCAGGCCAGGGGCTCCAAATGTAGGCCCACCTCCTTCTCTCAGAGATTCTACGCACAATGGCAGGTTTCACCAATGCCCAAGCACATGGGTGCATCCACTCATCCAGCCACCCTCAGGGACAATCTTGTCAATCTCCTTAGGATACGACAGAGAAACACTGCCCAACCAAAGGAGACATTCTGGACCTGTCTAATGGGGAGGAGGGGGAGGTGGTAATGGGAATTGTTATGGTTCAGCCGAAGTTGGGATGCTGACCAAACACCACCAGTGGTCCAGCATTCTGTTTCAGATGGAGTGGGGACAGACAGCTCTGCAGGTAACCAGGCGAGCCTGGACTCCCTGTGCGTGGAGGTGCGGACAGAGGCAGTATGTATTCTAAAGCATACATACATATGTACATACATACGTACATGCGTACATACATACATACATACATAGAATGGCCACAAAAGAAATGTTTCGGATTCAAATGGAAAAAAATCCTACTACCAACTTAGGAGTGTCCAAATTTCCTGCAGCTTGTCTTTAAGCCACTCTAGTTAGGTCAGAATTCTCTCAACTTCCAAGTATATAGCACAACCGAAACAAGTACATTTTCCCCAAATCGTATTGATCTCCTAAATTTTTCTTTTCTTTTTGTAATCTCCTAAGTTTTTTTTTTTTTAATTTTTAAAAAAGATTTTATTTATTTACCTGACAGAGAGAGGCACAGCGAGAGAGGGAACACAAGCAGGGGGAGTGGGAGAGGGAGAAGCAGGCTTCCCGCGGAGCAGGGAGCCCGATGTGGGGCTCGATCCCAGGACCCTGAGATCATGACCTGAGCCGAAGGCAGACACTTAACTGACTGAGCCACCCGGGTTCCCTTTCCTAAGTTCTTTAATGCAAAAAACACCAACTAACCGAGTCACAGTTTTACCAAGGATGTCATGGTTTTCTGGTACCCATGAATGTTGAGACCATTTCTTCTTTAGCCTTTTAATACCTATAATTAGATCACCACAAATCCTCATATTCCTTATTTTTCTGAACCCTATCTCCCGTACCCAAGTGACTTATGCCCACTGCCATGCACAGCTCCTTCTCTAACTCATCACCAGACAACAGAAGGCAAGCCTGCTGGGGCACTGGGGTGGGGGGTGTGGAATGCTCAGTCTAGTTCTGCTCCACCTGCTGTTGGCTGTGGGAATCTCACAACCACATCATAAACTGGAACTTGGGCCTTTTAAAACCTATGGCCCTGTTGCTACCTAAGGGCCATGAGGTTTCTCTCTCTTTTTTTTATATTTTATTTTTTTGACAGAGAGAGACACAGCGAGAGGGAACACAAGCAGCGGGAGTGGGAGAGGGAGAAGCAGGCCCCCCGCTGAGCAGGGAGCCCGATGCGGGGCTCGATCCCAGGACCCTGGGATCATGACCTGAGCCGGAGGCAGAAGCTTAACGACTGAACCACCCAGGTGCCCCAGGTTTCTCTCTTTTTTAAATAGGTTCCACACCCAGTGTGGGGCTTGAACTCATGACCCTGAGATCAAGAGTCCCATGCTCCGGGAGCCTGGGTGGCTCAATCATTAAGCATCTGCCTTCGGCTCAGGTCATGATCCCAGGGTCCTAGGATCGAGCCCCGCATCGGGCTCCCTGCTCAGCGGGAAGCCTGCTTCTCTCTCTCCCACTCTCCCTGCTTGTGTTCCCTCTCTCGCTGTGTCTCTGTCAAATAAGTGAATAAAATCTTGAAAAAAAAAAAAAAAAGAGTCCCATGCTCTACCTACTGAGCCAGCCAGGCACCCCATTTTTAAATTTATTATTTTTAAGTAAGAGCCATAAAGTTTTTCACCCCTCAGGCTGGCTCACCTCACGGGTGTGGAAGTCCCACCTTAATTGCTGATGCAGTCACATCTGGGCTTTGTGCTGTATTCTAACCTTTATTACAAAAAGTGGACTTATTTCCAGGTTGTTGTTTTTTTTTATAAGATTTTATTTATCTATTTGAGATAGAGCAAGAGAGAGAGAGAGAGAACAAACGGGGGGAGTGGCAGGCAGAGGGAGAAGCAGGCTCCCTGCTGAGCAGGGAGCCCAATGCGGGGCTCAATCCCCAAACCCCGGGTTCATGACCTGAGCTGAAGGCAGACGCTTAACCGACTGAGCCACCCAGGCGCCCCTTATTTCCAGTTTCTAACAGCAAACATATTTTTGGTTTTACCAGCAGTGGTAACCTTGAGCAAATTACTTCGTATTTTGAACAGCTCCATGATGTGTACTCTGACAGCACCTACCTCAGGGCTGCTGTGAGGACTAAGTGGCTTTGTGCTCAGTCACCATTAGTGTGACTGTCTTGTGGGGACAGAAACTGCCCTAAGTCAAGACCATTAGCTGTGTCCTCAGTACCCAAAACAGCCCAGGACAGGGACAGTGCTCTGATTGTTGCCCCTGGAGACATGGAACATCCCTCCTCTAGACTTTGCTAGAATGTGCTATCTTCTCTTGTTCATTTTTAAAGATTTTTTTTTTTTTAGGATTTCATTTATTTGACACGGGGTGGGGGAGAGAGAGACAGAGAGACATACACACACACCACACAAGCAGGGGGAGCAGCAGGCAGAGGGAGAAGCAGGCTTCCCACGGAGCAGGGAGCCTGATGCAGGGCTCAATCTCGGGACCCTGGGATCATGACCCGAGCCGAAGGCAGACGCTTAGCGACTGAGCCACCCACGCGCCCCAGGAATGACCCTTTAGCCCTGGGCCTTGCTGCCTCAGTGAAGACATTCACTAGTGATCAATTCCATCTTTGTCCCCCATGTTCTGGAGGCTCTGAGAGGGTAGAGCCCATGGATCTTTTGCACACCATTGTATGCCCAGGCCATGCACAGGGCTCAGCAGCCCAGAGGACCAGGGATGCAGCTGTGGAGTTCAGACTGGCATGTCTAGGGCCTCTCTGGCCTTGCTGTCCTGTGCACGCTGCCCACAGCTTTGGAGCCTTAACCTCTGAGCTATCACTGAAGTTGCTGCCACTCTTGCCACCACAGGTGTGGACCCCCTCAATTCAGAACCCAAGCTCCATTTCCTGTCCTCAGTCCTTGGGATTAAACTCCACACACTCAGGTTTCTGTCTAGAGTCCTATCTTTGTAACCCCCGAGTCCCTGTGAGGCCACCCCCCTCAACTCCCACCCAGGCTTCCATATCTGCTTTGGAGGGACCCAGTGGGTTTTCTAAATGAGGGACTCAGGGCCTCTGCAGGAGCTGTGGGGCATTCCCACCAGTTCACTCTGCCACTATCCCAGGATCTTTTTGTGGGGGGAATGGTATGGCCTGCAACCCAAGGAGGGAGAGGAAAGTAAAAATACGCAGGACATTCCACTTCTCTCCACAGATGCCCTCTCCTCAGAAAGCCAGACAGAGAAGGCAGGCAGAACAGAGGCCAGTGGGACCTTCACAGCTCTCTACAGGAGGGGGCTGATCAATAGGAAGGCCCTCATTTGGTGCTCACTGGCCAGAATCCCCTGGGGTGTTGGCTCAGGAGGTTACCTGGATCCTTGGAAGGAAGACTCTACACAACTTTATAATCAGAAACTTTGTTTATTTTGAATAAAACACTCAACATTGAGCAGAGGATGTTGCCTCAACTTTTTCTTTGAAGAAAACAAAGATATTATGGTAAATTCATGAAAACACTGTGCCTTCCGTTATCTTCTATCCTTTGTAGGGCAGAACAATTCTACCTGACCTTTCCCATCTTCCTGATGATGTTACCAAAGGACAGCCCCTGGGGGCACAGAAACTCCTGCAACTCCAGTGGTTGGGGCCACAGCTGGGTACAAGTGCACCACGTGGTAGCTGTGCAGTCCAAGAACTGCCCAGGATGCCCAGGGTGTGACTTAAGGCGCAGAACTGCAGCGCCCCTGCCATGGCAGTGACACGGAAAGGACTAACGGAGAGGTAAGGGCTCCAGACGCCGGGATCTTCCATGCGTCAATGCAGCATTGACACAGACCCCTAGGTCCTGCAGCAGGCAGGCTCCTCCTTCAGTGAGCTCCCCGCCGTTCAATTCTGGGCTCATGTGCTGCACTCCTAACTTGTTCTCCCACTCCACCCCACAGTCCCTCCCTTGCAGATGACAGGGAGAGACAAAGCCTGGGTTGGGGCTAAGGGGAGACAGGGAGCCTGCAGCCAGCCGTGTATCCCATGATGCCAAGAATCACAGCTGTCCTCTGACTTCAAGAGTGATTCAGTTTACAGCTAACATGGTCCCTGGGAAATTGCTGACTGAGGTGAGAATGTCTGAGTATCAAAGAACTTCCACCGTAATATTCACAGATCTCCCAAGCAACTCTTCCAGGAGGTGAAGGAGGCCCTGTTGAGTATAGACAGCTCTGCCAGCCTCAGAGTGGAGGCAGTGAACAAAGCCACAAAACCCCAGGAATCACAGATGTAACTTTTAAAAGGCACACAGGACCAGGTTCAGGACAGGCAGGACACCACACCAACCACCTGTTCCTTTGCACTCAACTGTGCAAAAGCTGGCCCTCTCCCCTGGCCAGCCCTTCTAGAATAGTAGCTGGAACCGCAAACCCAGGACCCTCCTGGCCTCAAACTTCCAGACCCCAGAGCAGCCACTCTGGAGGAGGAAAACACACTCCTGATAACATGAAAACCACTTGTGCAAAGATGGCCCCTGAGTCCGGAAGACCTGTGCCCTTGGGAGGGCCACACTCAACTCTGACCCTGAAGTTCACCAGAGACAGTGCAGCAGGACAGTGTCAGGTATGGACAGCCGTGTGTGAACCTGGTTAGTTACATTACTGGAACACTGGCACAAAAGAAGGACCAAGGTAAAACAAATTTATTCTGGGGAATAATTCCCTTTAAAAGTAGATCTCTATCTTTAGGAGACAAAAGGAAACACTGTGCTGAACTCATGTCCCCTGGTCTGGAGGGCCACAAGCCCACCTATGCTCTGCTGTGGGCTCTGGCCTCAGTGGCCAGACCCGGGTAAACCTGGAAGAAAGATTAGCCCACAGACACACAGTGCCATCGGAGACAATAACACCCTGTGACAAGGCCCCTTTCTGTATTATCTCCTCCCTGCAAGGTAAGGCAGGTGCACCCGACCACAGAAGGGTCCCCCAAGGACCAGGCAGGAGGCATGATGTGACTGCCAGTGCTCCATGCCCGTTACACAGGCCAACTCAATTCCCCACCGTCCACCACCCACACTCTTCCCGAGACACCAGCTGTGGCCAAACCCATGAGAATCTGGAAAACAGAGACCACCCTGGAATCCTCTTGCAGGAGACATTCTGAGGCAGGATGGGCAGGCAGCATATGTTACATTCTAAGTAAAATAGCTAGAGGGTAAAACACTCCAATGCCAATTTATTTTTAAAAAGGGTTCTGTGTAATTCTATGGTTTGCCCTTTTTTTTTTTTTATAATTATACAACCTTTGAAAATTACATAAGTTGTAATGATCTAATACTATTAATAGTCATTCAGAAAAAACTCTCCCTCCCTCCCAACAACCATCCAGGGGGAATTAAAAGTCCTGAAAAGAGGCCAATTCAACATGGCCTCTACCCTGGTAGAAACAAAAAGCAAAAAGATGAGAAGAAAACAGAAATGGACTAACAGGTGCGTGGCCAGTGTCTGTCAGGAGTGGGGCCCTGGCTGTTGCCTGAGGTGGTGAAAGGCAGAGCCTGCAGCATGCAGTTCGGCAGCCGGGAGGCCTCGCAGCCACATCGTCCTCACTCCAGTGCGTCCGTGTCCCAATCTAGGTGTCATGGAAATCCTTCAGCAGGGTTCTCCTCCGCTGCTCTGCTATGTGCATCTGGTTCTCTAAATCCTGCAGCAGGGAAGCAAGATGGTGCTTGCACGGCCCAGTCCCGAGAGTGCGAAACAGCCAAAGCCACCCCCACCACTGGCAGGGGCTTCGAGGGGTCAAGGCACTGCCCTTCCCACCCTGCTCTGCAGCAGCTTCTGGTCCACAGGCTAACATCCCTGTCACCTGTTAACAAGCCAGTCCTTCCTGGCCTGCAACAGAGAGACCAAGAAGGGGGCAGGCACTCACCCCTCTGTCATAGCTGTCTGCACGCTCCACTTTCCATGACAGGTTTTCGATCTCAGCCTCCAGCTGAGCCTGCTGGTATTCAAACTGTATGGGCAGAGCAGGAGGGTCAAAAGGAGAGGGGCTGCAGCCAGGGCAGGGCCTGCAGATGGAGGGGCAGACGCAGCACCTCAGGCTCGCATGAGCTACAGACAACCCTGAGACTGTCCTCAGAGAGCAGTGCTAGGTCCTGCAGCCAGAGCCAGAACCACATCAAAAGGCTACCTGAGGGGCGCCTGGGTGGCTCAGTTGTTAAGCGTCTGCCTTCGGCTCAGGTCATGATCCCAGGGTCCTGGGATCGAGCCCCACATCGGGCTCCCTGCTCCATGGGGAGCCTGCTTCTCCCTCTCCCACTCCCCCTGCTTGTGTTCCCTCTCTCACTGTGTCTCTGTCAAATAAATAAAATCTTAAAAAAAAAAAAAAAAAAAAGGCTACCTGAAGAGTACAGCCAAGCAGCAAGGCCCCACTTACCCTCCACCCCAAAAGAAAGGGGAAAAAATTTAAGCCACTGAAGACAATATTCTCAACATACAGGGAAACAGAGGCTGCAAAAACAAGTCAAAATGGATATTCATAGACATGGTATTCACTGAATACTTAATTTTTCCAGCCCTTCTGCAAATCAAGTCTTAAAAATATTCAAACCATTTGACTTAGTAATTGTGCATCCGTTGTACAATTATACACAAAATGTCCCTCAACGTCTTATTTATAGTAATGAAAAAGAGAAACAATGAACGCCCCAACTGATGGTACAACCATATAATGAAACATTTATGCACATATTAAAAATGGTATTTACCAGCCTGGTAAATAAGGACAGCTGCAACAATAAATGGTTGTAACAATAGAATGTCATGTATATAATTAACATTAAATGTAAAAATAATTTTAAAAGGCTGAAAAATGCTAACAGTAGCCATGTCTTTCTGGTGGGATTATGGATGATGTAAATGTTTTTCTGTCTTCCAACATTAAGCAATAAATGTGAATTACTTTATAATCAGGGGAAACAACCCATATCTAAGATAAAGAATTAAACAAAGATGCAAAAAAGTCCACTATAATTTAGGAACATGCATACTGGGTATCCTCCTAAAGCATGGGTGCTAGCCTCCCAAGAGCTTTTTAGCCAGTTGTCCTATAACTATGGCCATTCAGGGGCTTTGGTATATCTGCCTTGATATTACACACAAAGCCAGGGCCTGAAGTCTATTTTAGAGATGCCTACAGGAGAACTGAACTTTTTTGTTTTTAAAAGAGAGAGAGCGAGAGCGAGCGCATATGCACACAGGGGTGAAAGAATCTTAAGCAGGCTCCGTGCTGAGCGTGGAGCAGGGCTCAATCTCACCACCCTGAGATCATAACCTGAGCCCAAACTAAGAGTCAGATGCTTAACTGACTGAGCCACCCAGGTGCCCCAGGAGAGCTAAACTTTTTAAAACTGACAGTTTTGTTTTGCCCTCCCAACAACCAGGGTCTGGTCCCCACTCTCCGGGAAAGTGCGGGTGGACAAGGATACCTCTGAAGCTAAGAGGGCAGAGCAGAGCTGCTTGGCCTTACCAGCTTCTTCCTGGGTCCAGACTCCATGTAGTAGGCATACGGGTAAGTGTACTGCAGGGTGTATCGGCACTATAACAGAAGAGAGAAGGCCTGCGCGTGTGAACCTAACCCGCACGCATCTCAGGTGGCTTTCACAATTCTTACCCTACCGTGCAAGTTAGCCTGGCTCTACAGATATGGGCTCAAAGGAATGAGGCCAAGCAAAATCAAGAATGAACGGGGGGACAACATGGAGAAAGCTGAAACCGAAATGGTCACAGAACACCCCACAGTTCCTTTTTCAAACTGTGATTTATTACCAGCAGCTGCCTCAATGGCTCTTCCTTCGGGTCGGACATCAGAGTCCACACATCTATCTCATACTTGTCCAAAGACAATCTCTTAGTTTCTTTGGAGTGATGCATGGATGGGACAAAAGAAGAAAAGGGCTCTAGTTTTCCCTGCAGTTCCTTCCTTATGGCTGAGGCAGTGGAATACTCTTCTTGGAAATCCCCTGGCAGCCAGGAGCAGGCTGGGTCCTCAGTGGGCATAGCCCAGGGAAATGTGGGCCCAGAAGCAGAAGCATGTAGAGCGACACAAAGTGCTGTGTTCCCTTGCCCCGTACACTGCCTCCCACCCTCAGACGTCTGGGCCTGACAGGGCCAGGCGCTGGGCCAGGGATCAGAAGAGGGAGGTGGTACAGACCTTGGCCAAGAGCTTGGCAGCATTCTGTAGGTACTGCCAGTCGATCCACGTCCCCAGATTATTCATGACTCTCTCCTGAATCTTTTCATGAATCCGCTGATAGGTCTGTGCCTCCAGCTGCAAGCTCTTGTTGTGGTTTTCCCACTACAGGGTATAGAGAAAGGTGCACAAGTCCTGACAGAAGTTCAGAATAGACACCTTGGTTGGCACAGCATGGCCACAGCTTCATCTAACTTATGGGGACTGTCTGTCCTTGCAAGTGCAGGAGGAGGACTTCTTCTTTTTTAAAGATTTATTTTTTGAGAGAGAGAGAGAGCGTGCGCACGCGGGGCAGGGTGGAGGGGCAGGGGGAGACGGAGAAAAGCAGACTCCCTGCCGAGTGCAGAGCCCAATGTGGGCTGATCCCAGGGCCCTGAGATCCTGACCTCAGCTGAAATCACGAGTCGGCCACCCAGTCGATGGAGCCATTCAAGCACCCCAGGAGGGGAACTTCCTCAGTCCATACTACTAACCCTGTCCTAAGCAGTGGCCTGCCAGCCATATCACTCTACCATCTAGGGCAACAGGGCTTCAGCCCTGAAGACTAAACAAAGCTAGGCACCCACTGGTCTACTGGGTTTAGAAAGCAAATGCGCCACCCTCTTTGGGCTTCTGAAGGGCCTTCCTGGGAGGAAGGGCCCTCTAAATTCGATTAAGATGGTACTGGATGGAAAAGACTATCCGACGGTCCTCTCATTGTTCTTCAATCCATCATTCAAAGAGCACTGTTGGTCGTGGCTGCCCTGTGGAGCCAGAAAGTCACATTTATGGAAGCAGCACTCAGGCCCACTGCAGGAGCTCGTCACCCTGACTTCTGTGTGCACAGACCAGCATACCAGTCCCTGGGAATTCTGCCTCAGCAGGCCAGTGGGAAGAAGCCCACTAAGGAGGAGCAGCTGCAGGAGAAGATGCCTACCCTCTCAAAGTAGAACAAGTACTTCTTGAGGGCCTCCCTGGCCTGCGCTTGTTGGCTCTGGTTGACAATGTCGGGGTTCTCCTTGTACCGACTGCACTCATAGTACTCGCTGCCATGGGTCTTCCAATCTCCTAGACACATCCAGCAGAAGTCTGCAAAGAATAGAAAATGAGGCATTTATACCCACAAGATAAGCCTGTATTCCTCCAACGGCAAAGCAGTGGGACAGACAGATCCTGTGAAAGGGGCGTGAGGCGGGGTTGTGACCTGACCAGAACTTCCTAAGGGTGCCTCTTTCCAGGAGGAAAGTGCACCTCTCCTCTTTGTCACAGAACACTGTCCCTGTAGCCTTTCCTTGCCAATATGAACAATAGCCACCTGTCCTAAGAAGATTTTGTACACAAAGCTGGGAATAAAGGCTTTCTGCTATTTTGTCTTTTTTTTTTTTTTTAAAAGAACAGTTCTATAAAACCAACAGCTACCCAATAGTTCCTACTCAGAATTATGAGTCTGCGTCTACACTGAGGAAGTGAAGAGGGAAAAATAAAGATCCACCAAACATCCATAAATTACTGTGGTCTAACGGAGAGGGGCCAACCACAGTGCTGTTAGATGGCTCCATCTCTATCCTGTCTGATCTATATCCTGTCCCTGACAAAACCCTGACAGTGGGTAAACTCTGTTTCCCAGGATTCAAGTTGGCTCACTGACTTCTCCAAAGGACCTCATATAAAATTTGGGGAGACCCTCAGAGACCCAGAAGTCGTTCTCTTCTCCTGGGAGCTTTCACTAAACAGCGGCAATACCGCTATCTCCTTAATTAGCTAGGTGGTGTTTGCTACTGTCTTAAATACTACTACGCTGCTTAGGGTTGCCCGTATAGGTGGCCCCATACAGGAATGCAAGGGATGGCAGCTAACTCTGGGTGGTGAGGGATGGGGAGACTTACGGGGAGGGACATACAGGGGACTTCTTGGGTACAAGGAATATGATGGGTACCGGGGTGTTCACTTGCCATTTCTCTTTAAACTGTATGCAAGTCTTATGCACTGTTCTAAGTGGATGATACACGTCCCTCTCACTCAAACACACAAAGACAGAGTGGGATACCACAGAGGAAATATGCCACTACCCATGGCCTCTCTTCATTCTACACTTCACTGTCACTGTTCCCCTCTAACACCTTGCCATGTCCATTCTGATTACGGTGGGCTCCTGGGAAAACACAGGAATACCATTAGATGGACCCTTACAAAGAGGAACCCTCAGGGCCTCTGGTCAGCATTGAAGCTGCTGTGTAGGAGACCTGTTTGGACGTACTTTCTACTTGAACAAATTTTATTTCTTTACTTCATCTGGCAGGAAGGAAAGCAAAACCAATAGGTTCCATGTAAGCTACTCCTGATGGACGAAGGAGATGTAAAAGGCCAAGTCAGAAGCCCGTGTGGAAACTTTGTAAAACCTCGAAGGAAGACTCTTCTGTTACTCCCTCCAATAAAACAGCCTGTTCTAAAAAGGTACCTGTAAGGTAGCACAGATAAACCCCACATTACTTACCTGCCTTGGCAAAAGTAAAAAGAGCACACTAAAATCTTCTTGGATGACTGAAGATCATTAAGGTCTAAGAGTCATCCCAACCTTGACTTCTGACTATCTGTGTCAGCAAGGCGGCAGTGAGATTGTAAGAGGCACCAGAAAGGAGTAAGTGAAAAATCAAGAGCTGCTTTAGGCTGGGTACTGTACGTGACTGAGGCCGCCCTTTGTCACTTCACTACAAAAGCACTCACTAAACAGTGGAGGCCCAGGCACAAGAAACGCGGACTGTGCCCCTGGGCCTTGTGTACCACGCCTGGGACTCACCGTGTTTACACTTGGAGCATTGCTGTCAGAGGGAAACAGAAGAGAACATGTTAAGGGCAGGCTGACCAAAGGCTCCATGGCACATATGCAGAGGGTACGGGCTTCTGCTCACCATGTGATTGCAGCCTCCGTTCTTCTCAATGCAGATGTTGCACTTGGGACACTGAGGAGACAGAAGGGCGCCATTAGGCTCACACACCACCAGGCCGGTTCTAAGACAAATTACACAAAGCTCCTGGCACCCGTGCCCAGTAGCTCATCGTGCGAGCCCTTGAGGGGAGGAGCATCTCACTTAAATGTGGCGGGTCGCTGAGGCTGGAACAGCAATTCAAGGAAATGAGGTCAGCACATTTGGCTCTGAAACACTCCAAGCACCGGCTGAGCCCCACTAAGTCTTCCACCATCTGTCTCTGCCACGAGGCTGCTCAGATTAAGCACAAGCTGAGTCAGCACAAAGCCTTCCTGCTTGGGAAGAATGCCAAAGCAACACACGATCTGCCACACTGGACCAAGTCCTGGTCAGCTTGCCTGGACTTCTGCTTCCACAAGGGGGCAAGGGAACCACCTCTAAAGCTCACTTGCTCTCATCTGAGAGATGCCCCAGCCTCGGCAGCAACGCAGAGACCAGTCTGACGCTCTGCTCTCCCACTACCACAAAGCAGACTATGTTTAATGAGGTCACGGTCATGGCTATGCTGTGAGTGCAGCAACTCAGCACATGACCAGCACAGGGTAGGTGCTGAGTCACCCAGGGCTCAAGGGGCTGAGGGCCATGTTTTCCCATGGGAAGTTTCAGAATGAGAACTGGGCATGCCTGGGCTTGCATCAGAGCCTTGCTCTTTACTACATGTTGCTATCAACCAACTCCCTCCCAGGGCTGTTAAAGCCTGGGAGGCATTAAAAAAAACCCAGGTTTTCTTCTAATTTGACCATATGGGTCAAACTTTTCCAGGTAGTTCAGTATTTTATTAAAATAAATGCATCCAACACATGCTATGATAGTCCACTGCAAACTCTGCCAACTTTGGGCAAGGGTCTGGCAGCCTCCAGCAAGGGCCCTGGGGCCCTGGGTGTTCTGCTCTCAATGGCCAGCCTCCTGGGTGAGGCCCTAGGCAGCATTAAGGAGGGCAGATCCATGACAGATAAGATACAGTCCTTACGTCTTTAGTGTGAGCACTAATGTAGTTGGCTGTTTCAGAGTCGTCTGCACACTTCGTGAGCCATTTCCGGATTGTGGCGCAGTCTGTGGGGGCGTGATACATCTGACGACACTTGAAACTTAAAACCAGAAAAGAAAAACATTCAAATAATTGTTAGGTCAGGGTCCCATGTTTTCAATTTTCCTTCTGTCCAAGCCAATAGATCCTGAATTAGAGTTTTTCAAAGAAGTCAAGTCACCTCTCAAGGCCTTTGGGATCTTTACTTACCCAGGGCTATGATGAAATACTGTACGAATTTCTCTTCAATCTAAGCACTTCTAAGACACACTCTTAATAAACCCAAATAAAATGCTTGTCTTAAATATCCTGTGTGGTGTTAACCCTCCCTTAAAGGATGTCAAATTCAGAGTTCAGTTCTTCAAAGGGCATGGTGAGGTGCTCTGAGACAGATAACTCAGCTCAGACCCAAGCAAAACCAAGATCCACTTTTTGGGAGCCTTGACTTAACTCCCAGCCAGATGTGCACATGATGTACACATGACAGAACCTGTTCAGTCTGCAGGGCCATGATACCTCTGACAATGCCTGAAACTTAAAATCAGAAAAGAAAACACTCCAACAACTCATCCAGCTAGGCTTCCATGTTTTTAATTTCCCTTTTGTCCAAGCTAACACAACGTTTGGATAGTAAAGGCACTCAGGCAAACAGCCTAACACATGTCCCAGGGAAAGAAGCTCATAATGTGGGACACAGGGGCACCTGGATGGCTTGGTCGGTTAAGTGTCTGCCTTCGGCTCAGGTCATGATCTCAGGGTCCTGGGACTGAGTCCCGTGTCAGGCTCTCTGCTCAGCGGGGAGCCTACTTCTCCCTCCCCCTCTGCCTGTGCTCTCTCACTCTGTGTCAAACAAAAAAAATCTTAAAACAAAAAAAAGTGGGACACAAAGGATGGAGAGCAACTACATTAGTGGTTCTTTTTTATTTATTTATTTTTAAGATAAGCTCTACGCCTAGCATGGGCCCCAACATGGGACTGGAACTCACGACCCTGACATCAAGACCAGAGCTGAAATCAAGAGTCGGACACTTAATTGACAGAGCCACCCAGGCACCCTTATGTTAGTGGTTTTTAATCTTTGGTGAGCCAAAGACTCCCTCAACAATGGTTTGAAAGGCAAGAACACATGCACACACACCCCATTTTCCATGTAGTTTCTCTGAAGCCCCACCATGAATCATCTTAGGGAGGCATGATTAGGGACAGACACAGATGCAGACCTAAATTATGGCTCTGCCATTGCCTTGCATCTCCATTTCCTCCCCTATAACATGAGGGCAACAGTATCAATTGTACACAATTGTGACAATGTAGGTAAAGAGATGAGAATAGTGTCTTTCCCATGGTAAGTCTTCAGTACACTTTATCCCCATATCTACTGAATGGAGTAACCCCAAGTAGACGTAAACTACCTTTATGAATTATAGTGTTATAAAATTAGCCTACAAAGGCCAAGATGGAGGAAGATTCGAACGCCGGAGGTTGTAGCTTTCAAACACAATAATATTCGATTATCTGTGCAGGCACATGCATACCCACACTGACAATCTCTGTGCCATGAGTCTCAGTAGCACAAACCATAGCACATTCTCCAAGAATCTGTGCCACTTTTTTGTTTCTAGACTGAGCATTATCAAACATCCCGTGGAACATGAGATGCTGGGTACATATCCTGCCTCCTCGGAGCAGAGCTGCTAGTTAGGCTCAAAGACCCTGTCTTTCCCAGCCCCATCCTCACCCACAGCAACAGCAGTGGTGCTTTGGAGGACAAGGCAGGAGCCCAGGGCTGTTCAGCACCCACACTCACTCTTACCAGAACACCTCGTTGCACCGATTGCACTGTACTCGGCGAGCTCTAGGCTCCTGTACCCGAATAACCATGGGGCAGTCTGCACCAGGGCACAGCTGGAGCTGGTAGTGACTCTGTGAACACACCAAGGGGAAACAATGAGGACATCCCCTAGTCACTGCTTCCAAATCAGACTTCCCTGCAGCTCAAACACCTTCTGTCCTTCCAGCCGATGACTTCTATCAAGGGGCTATAGGAATTCAGAAAGGATGTCACAAAGAACAGCATTAGGCAGATATTAAAGACCTATGAATGTTTAGCTAAAACTAGGTAGCAGCTCACTAGAATGATCTAAGGCTAGATTTTAAAATGGAGTACAGAACTGTGTCTGTGAGCTGAAAGTGCACAGGTCTGGAAAGGAACATAGCCCAATCCGCTGTGCATCTGAAAGTATTATTCTAAGTAAAATAAGACCGAGAAAGACAAGTATCATATGATTTCACTTCTGTGCAGAATCTAAAAAACAAAATGAATAAACAAAACAAAACTCAAAGATACAGAGAATAGAAGGGGAAGGGGGTTATAGGGTGGGTGAAATGGGTGAAGGGGGTCAATTATATGGTGACGGATGGTAACTAGACTTACTTTGGTGATCACTTTGTAGCATATACAAATATTGAATTATTATGTTGTATACCTGAAACCAATATAATGTTACACACCAATTTTACCCAAAAACAAAAACAAAAGCTCTGAGAGGCTCAATGACCCTCATGCATGTACCAAAGGCAGCAAACAGCACAGGGAACAAGGCACTGTTTATCCTGCAGCCCATATACAAGAAGATCCAGCCCGTTAGGCAATCTTGTAAGCTCAGGCACAACTGACGAAAATTATGAGAACTATGCTGCATGGAGGCTGCAAGCCTGAGTCGGGAGCCAAAGGAGGGGTGGGAATCCAAAACTGACCACGCTGGAATCCTGGACAAGTTTTCAAATTGCACAAAAAGCAATACCCCTTCTCTGTGCTTTATAAATCACACAGTGAACCAAATGCAACAGCAACTCCTGAGATAGCCCTGACTTGTGTTCATTCCCTGCCATATAATACATTTTAAGCAATTGTGTAGAAGGGGAGAAGGCCTGACCATTCTACCAGAGAAAACCAAGACTCAGAGAGGTCAAATAAAGGGTAGAAGGCTACACAGCGAGGAAGTAACAGACCTGGGATTCATGTCATTGTCAGCCTCACTCCAGGGCCTGTGTTCCTCACTACCACTCTAGTGGCTTCTCCACTTTGTAAAAGCCAAGAGCTTTCTTCAAATTATAGCATCTAATGGCAGCCTTGTCTACAAAGTGACTGTGGTGAGCATGAGATGAAAGGTAGGCCCAGGAAGACAGACTTGCAACGACAGGGGCTGGTCATACCTCCACATAGTCCCTAAAGAGGTAGCGCCTGTATTTGTCTCTCAATTCTTCATTGGGCAGCAATGGAAACACGAAGTCCTCTGGTGTTCGGAGTGGGCAGTCCTGAGCCATGCAAGAGACTCCTGTTGAACAAAGACAACATGACGGATAACTGCACTGCAGAAGACATGACAATAATATATTTCCCCACTGCATTCACCCAACAAATTCAGATTCCACATAGGAAATCCCTGAAGCCACAGAATTTATTTTAAAAAGAAAGAGAGAAACTAATGTATTTGCAGTGACACAACTAAAATTTACCTCAAATTACATATATATCACAAACAGCACCACTAAAAAAGCAGTATCATCTAAAAAAATCCTATATGGCTCTTGGGGCACCTGTCTGGCTCAGTTGGTAGAGCAGGAGACTCTTGATCTCAGGGACGTGAGTTCAAGCCCCCCATGGAGCGCAGAGATAAACTTAAAAAAAAAAAAAAATCCTGTATGGTTCTTGACTAACAATTTTGTTTTGTGACATTTAGTATTACGTGCAAGTGACTACCACCCAACACAATGAGATTCTGCAGATACTGTAAATGCTGAGTTCTAATACCATCAAGTCATAGCATGACAAACACTCCTATAACCAATCACCAAATCTGATTTGTGTTATGCTACCTAAATAGCAGCAATCTCTGGGGGTTTCTGAGTTATAGCTATCACTTGGGGCATCAAGATAGGGTAGGCAGCTTAAAGGAGAGTTCTCCCATAAGTTCACCTTGCACTCACACCAACATTTACTATATATATGCCCAAACAATAGCCTTAATCTTCTCATTTTGCTCAGGACTGGGGAAAATCTTGCCACTGTTCAGCCTGATGTGTTTGGAAACTAATGGTTCTGACAATAAAAACCCCAATCAGGCTCAGAAGAAAAGACGCAGTTGACCTGAGTACCTGCAAGGGCAAAGCTGAAGATAAATACTTCATGCCAGCCTTTTACAAATTTTGCAGCAGACTCACCCACACCCACGCCATCCTTGACAAGTACTGAGCAGTGCTGCTCCCAGCAGCTACGGCAGAACTGGTGCTGACAGGCCAGAGAAAGTAGGTTTTCCTTCCGCACAAACTGCATACACACTGCGCAGTGGTGAGGGGGGTGGGCCGTGGGAACCTGGGGAGAGGCAGACCCAAATGAGTGAAGAGGAGCCTTCAGATCCTGGGAGGCCACAGGGGTGCCTGACGCAGCTAGGTGCATGGGAGGTGAGCCTGACCCTGCAACAAGTGTCAGAACTCAACTGCAATGTGTGGGCTCTGTGGGTCCCAAAAGTTCTCAACAGAAAGCACAGATCAGGAAGGCTTCCTGAAGGAGGTGGCACATGAGCTGGGCTTGCACAATCACTAGGATTCAGAGAGGCAGAGGAAGGCTGAAAGGAGAACTTACATTAGTTTATGATGTTAGGCTGAAAAACTCAGAATTTCCAAATTGCCAAGGTCCTTAAAGGTCATCCAGTCCAAATTCTGCTTTTAGAGGCTACTGGTTTTCTTTTATGAACCGCCCCATTTGGTGCACAGAGCTGCTACTCAAGCTTCTAACAAGACCACATTGCAGGTTTACTTGTCAAAGATACTGCTTTTCCCATAGATATGCCCAAAACATAAAACTTTACAGTTTTTACTAACTCACAACTCATCCTTAACACACTGCAGAGATGTCATATACAATTAATTTAGAGGGATGAGGAAGGCTCCTACTAGGGAAGAAACCTTCCAGGATGTGGGCAAATAACTGCAAAGCTTGAACTCCAGAATCCATGCCACGCTATACGATCTGGCAGACAAAGACAATGTGGGACCCCTGGCCCAAGCCAGAAGTCCACTACGGGTTTACATTAGGTTCTGGTTAGTTCACTGGGAATACAATAAACAATTGGGAGGAAAAAGGCTGTATTCTCATGTTTATCCAATATGCTTCTGGAAATTTTCTCCTGAGAGCTACAAAGTTATGTGGTAATTTGAACCCTGATTCTCCCTCCTAAAGAGTGCTTTCGACATGGCCCTTACTCATTTGACAAATGTCTGTCAAACTCCTAAATACAGAGGACATTGCTATGCATAGTAAGATATGGTTCTTAACCATAAAGCACACAGTCTGGTAGGGGAGCTGAAAAAGATGAGTGACTCACTACATCACACAGGTAAAGATTTCAAGACATAACTAGAGGTGTTTGGAGAGGAGAGATCACAGGCTTTGTGAGAGACAGCCTGATTTGGGTCTTTAAAGATGAGTTCCATTCCCACAAGCAAAGATGGGGACAGGGTCAGGACATTCCAGGCCAGGGCTGGCACAAGCAGTCGAAGAGGCATGTGGTGAGCTTGGGAACACCAAGGAACCCAGCAGGAATGGAGTACAGGCTGTGTGTAAAGAGGAAGGTGAGGCTGGAGAGGGCCCCAGGACTGGCAATGATTTATTCTTCATCCATAAGGAAACTCTTTAAACTAAAATGGAAATGGAAGATTTAGGCTCGTATTGGAACAAAAATCTCAGGCATGTTCTACTATACACAAAGCAAAATGGTTCTCAGTAACACCATAAGCCACAGCAAGAGCCATGTGTGTCAGGAGAAGCCTTGCTCAGGTGGGAGATACTCACATGTTTCGAGGGACTGGGCTGAACTCGAGCCTCAACGAGCAGCTGAGCAGAATTAGACTTGTATCTACAAAACAAAAAGCAGAAATAAAGGGATTCAGAAACGAAGGCAAACGTTTTAACCTCTGAACAAAACCAGATGAGACCAACAAGTGCTGCGTTTGCACTAAAGTGTCTTTGCCTCTAATTACCTTCTGACAGTACCAACCAAGCTTCCTTTCACTTTGGTATAAATAGTTTTCTCTTTCCATTTTTTAATTTTATTTTTTTAAATATTTTATTTATTTGACAGAGAGAGACACAGCGAGAGAGGGAACACAAGCAGGGG